TAGCGTTACATCGCGTGTTTCTGAGTGAAATCGTGTTAAAAGTGAATGTCAAATCCCATTTCAATAGAAACTTATGCAAACGATTGACATTGAAGTCTTAGAAGATCCATACTACAAATATTTATTTGGAAAAGAAAAAAAATATGTATATAATAATTCCAGTTCTCCTCTCTCTCTCTCTCTCTCTCTCTCTCTCTCTCTCTCGCATCGGTTTCACGCATTGGAGTCAGATTCTACTCCATATTAACATGTAAGCGGATCACTGTAACATTGTCACCCTTATTCATATATATGGATGAATGAGCATCGGATTCGCGTAAAGTATCAATGTTTAACGCATGAGAGAGGAGAGGAGAACTTGACCCTCTTCTCGTGCGCACACACGCATCTACATTAACCCCCTTGGGCCTTGCCACGAGATCACATTGCGGCGCAAAGACGATTCTATTTATGCGCGCAACCGACTCGGACCTGGGGTTAATACGATGATATCACTCACGGGATATACTTACCTACTACGTAAGTCGATTAGCGCAGGAAAGCCGGAGACGAGTTTTGCGGTCGAAACCGAGCACCGTGGACCGAAGTGTATCTGCCGACGTAAAGAGGGTTGGATGATGAAACGTGAGGGACAAAACGGGTGAAACTAGTTTTCCTAGCTCTTTCACGAGATCTAGATATTTAAGCTTTTAATCCGCTGTGGAAAAAGTCCATTTCTGATACTATCTGCAAGTTGTACGCATACGTATCGCGAATTAATCTGAGACTGAGATATATTCTTGGGCATCTGTGTATATTATGTGCGGTTTACATCTGGACCAAGTTTAACAAAGTAATTGAATAAATTCTGGACAATGTTGACCATCTGATACAATAGACGAGGTAGAGCAGTATCGCAAAGAAAAAGAGTCCTTCTTCTTCTTCTTTCTGTATTGTGTTTGCTATTGATTTTTTATTATTGTAATTATATATTAATTTAATTATAAAATATTTCATTACGTCTAATAAAGCGATTATTAAAAATCGGGATATTTTTTTAATATATAAAAAGAGATGAAGAAACAAATCCGAGTGCGTAGTTTTGAATTCGCTCAATATCTATAAAAAATGAGAATCCTAAACAACTCGTATGGTACTCGCTAGATCGGCAATAAAATATAGCTCGCTACATCGTAATTATACTGGCGGGAGCCCTAAATATTTCTCTCCGCGCTTTCCTTTCGATGTCTGTCGGAATGCGGTATACAAATCGCTCCTCGAATCTTCCTCCTTCTCTCCGCCTGAAAGGTAGTGCACGCTTCGCGCGATCACTCTTTCTTCCCACTTGCCCTTAACCTTTTTTTTTCCTTCCCTTCCTCCCCGCGCTAGTCCGACTCGTGAATACGTCTACGAGTTAACGAATTTCGAGGCGCGCGAACTGGCACCCTTCTAATCCTGTGACTAACGTCCACGCCGAGAACAGAGCCGGCGCGAGCACGCGAGGATGCGGAGCGACTAGAGGCTTAAGTCTTAGAGATCCGCAGGATCTCGACTCCAACCCTGTTTCAGAGATCCCTTGCGGGAAGGGCGCGGGTTGCGCTGGACGACGTCTTTATCGTCTCGCATCCACCTCGTTTCACGTCACGTTAAGGTAACGACTCAACATCTCGTGTAGTCGCACAGCATACGTTTCACACGCAACAATATTTTGCAAAGAAAAACTTTAAACATTTTAGCTGATATTATTAATATTAGTATAGTATATTGTTTATGCAACATTTAATATAAAAAAGTCCCTGCAGAATTGTATTTCATTTCCAGTCTTCCAATTAGTCACAAGTTTTTATAATGAAATTACTTTCAACATATTTTAATCATTATCGTTACCGGGCACATAATAACACCTGAAATATTCTCATTTCATAGTATAATGAATAGGATTCACTCGCTTAGCTCAGTAGTGTACTTTCTCTTAATTAAAGATCACTTAACCAAACACTTTTTTGACTTTTAATCCATTAATTGTCACAAAATTTCGATTCATTTCACGATATGTAAAGCACTTAACCGCAACTCAAGAAAGTTGAGAAAGTATGGCATGAGCATACATTTAGATCTGTATTAAAAGAAAGTGCTCCAAAATACTCCGAGGCGTGAGCAGCATCCACTGAAGGATGGAGTTACCTCGAACGAAAAAGCTTAATGACGTGTACTATTATTAGTCACATTGACAAAGCGTCGGAAAGCATAGAACGAGCTGAGGGCTCGTCGGCGTCGAGCGGTCGAGGGCGTCTCGCCGCTTCGGCGAGACGAGAGACTCGTACCCGCGTTAAGCGCGCGTTGCTCTCTTTATTTTTCATCCTTTCTCTCTGCTTTACATACGCTACACGGTTACGGTGGGGCCATCGTCCTCCGGCCGCTGCTGCAGCATTGCAACGATTATTGTGCCCCGCTACCTTCACACGGTAGCAAACGCGGTGGCAACAAGCGACTTCTTTTGTGTGAGGATGCTGCGCGGATGTCTCGCGGCGACACAATGGCTCGTTTCAGCAGCGACCGGATTTCGGAGTCCAGAGTCACTGAATGGACCATTGGGTACCGAACGAAGGGCAGACGCGGTTGCCAAAGCCAATGAGGTACATCACGGTAATAACGTGCATGGGTGTTAGCGTATTAGGAGCGATTTCCGTTACATTGTTGAGACCATTCTCGAACCGTTGTTTCCAAACGGAGCGAGCCGATTTCTCACGTCATTGCCCTTGCACCGCTAAAAAAAATCGCAAATCGCGTATGTAGATCTAGATTCTCGCTAAGAATATTAAGTCCTGTATGTGTGTGTGTGTGTGTGTGTTTTATGAAGATTATCCAACTCTTCTTCGATCTCCCGTAATCCTCAATGCGATTCATGTCTCACGGCCGAAAATACAGGCAAGTCACGAGGCCGACTTCCTTGCAGGAACGTCCACGCCAATTAAACGAGCCGATACATATACTTGGCACGCAGACGCTATATACGTAATGGTGATTGCATTGCGCAACCTTGATTTCGCTCGTGCGTAAAACTATTGTCCGCGGACGATCGGCCCGGCCGCTTGGGCAAACGGGTCAGCTTCAGCGCCGCGCTGGCACGCCGATTCGCAAAGCAGTAAGTTTTGCGGTAGTCGGCTAAAATTCAAGGTCCCGATTCTATACTTCCGCGGTCAAGTTTGGTCGACAGGCGCGTCCTCGGCTCTCGTTTATCCGAATTTCTTCAAGGCCTCGGCCTCATGTGAGGCAACGATATATGTTCGTCGTTTTAGGGAAACCCGTTCACACGGTCGCTTCGCACGGTAAATATTACATATCTATACGGTTGACGCGGGGCCGCACTCGTTTCGGTAATTTCACAGACTAGTCTTGAGTAGCATTTGTGTTGCGATAAGCGATTACGCAAGGTAGTGTACGCTCGGCATTCATTGCCGGGGCCGCAACAAGGAATCATTACGCGCAGCCGGGCGTTACGGATATATGGAGCGGTATTTTACCGGCGCTTTAGCAGTAACAGAACAGTCTTACTTTTTCTACCGCCGATTTCTTTACTTTACTTCAGTATAATGAGAAGCGGTAAAAGAAATTAATAAACGAGACAGATATTTGAATTTTTTCGAAAGAAATATAAAGTAGAAATATCACATTTAAAATAAGCTGTCAAGGAAGATTGATGTTCTTCAGAAAGACATTATTCAGAGAAATAATAACGATTTGTTAGGTAGACCATTAGAAAATTAATTTTATTATTCAAGTAAATTTAATATGTAATTTTTATAGAGTTTATCTAGTTTTATCGAATGGTATATTGTTAAATGCTGTTGGTATAGTTACACGGACGAATTACGCAAACGAAATTGGATGATAATAATGCGTGGAGCTAAAGAAACAGGAGAAGAGAGATGGACAGCGAGAGGAGGCGTAGGGGAGAACGAGGAAGGAGAAAAAGACGTGGAGGTGGAGCATAAAGAAGAGGCGCGCGAGATCGCGGTAGCAATCGGCGGACCCATCATTAAAAATCAGTTAACCTCGCAATTACCGTGCGAGTCCCAGCCTATTAAGTGCGCGTAATCGGAAGAGGCTTTTTTGGAATAATCGTTCGTGGCGAGCGCACGGAGAAACGAGCTCGCGCAGCGGGCTCACCCGCCGATTATGCGACCACTTCGGCGGGAAGGAAGCGCTTTGTTTCGTAGGGAAGGCACGAAGGTAATAGCCGGAGACGAATGGCGAGTCTGCTGCGAACATTTGCAAAATACTGATGGCGCCTTTTGCGCAAGCAACCCCTGATAAAACTCGCTCGAGTCACGACAGAAAATTCGGATTTTTGCTTTTTCGATAACGTGTCCGTCGTGTCCGTAGCCAAGAAAATTTCCAATCAGCAGAAGGTGTATATCTATTCCTTCTTTCTATGTTAAAATTTTTAAATCGACTTCATTGCGAGATCGACTTATACACGATTTTTCAAGCAATTTTTTGTCTTTTCGATCGGAAATCACGACGTTTTAGTAACTTTTCAATCGGGCGTCGGAAGAGTTGAGCGAGAGGAAGCGTTCATTTAGCGACCTAAATAGTCACTTACAAGTCTATAACCCTTTCTTTACGTTATTGCTTCGTTAAAGCGTCATTTTCTCCTCTCCTGATTTCCACCGTTCGAGACCGCTCGGCTAAAGGCTATTTGGTGAAGTTATGCCCAGCCTCGTAAGCCGCTCACGCGCACTTAACTCCGCGCCATATAAGACTACCGGAAGAGCCGTTTGCTCTCGATATGTTCGGCCGCAATATCGAGAACTCGAATGGGGCAAGAAGAAAACAGAGCGAGGGACGATCGGCCGATGAGTGATTATGAGTTACAGACGAGCTTGTCGGCACTTAAGTGGCGCCGAATAGGGACTTGTAAGTACAACCTGGCCTCGGCATTGACGGTGTATACATGCATGTGCGAGAACCGACTCGGCCAGCAACTTCAAGAAAAGACGCGTTTAAAATCTACTTACCCGTAGCTTCGATTGAAGTGGAGAATCCGACACCTTAATCAATCCACTGACCCAACAGTCTCGACAACGAACCTGAAAAGTGTTAATCAGAACGTATTAATTCTTAAATGTTAGATATACAATCGCACTTACGCATGTAAGTGCCGTAAGTTATTCTAGTTTTAAAAAGCATAGTTTCACAAATTAAAAAAGCATCGCAAGTGAAAATTGAATACAAAAATTCAAATATTATTTAATGTTGTATCACATGATCGAGATATTATATCAACCATTTAAATTAAGCATTTAAACATGTATATATTTATTTAAAACGCTTTTAACAATCACTTTTCTTAAAACAATATAAGTTGTTTAGTCGTTTTTATAACGTTTACACCTGCATCAAGGTAATGCAAATGTATTTTCTCCAAGGAAATATCAGTCTTGCATGCAATCTCGATAAGAACGATCATATCACATCACCCGCTTTTGTTGATCGCACGCGATGGGAAGACAGGCCAAGCGAGTCGCATGGACCAACAAAGTCGAAGTCAGGCTTGTGGGCCTCGGCTGTATATGATTAATGCGACCCACTGTGGCGAACGCAATATAGAACGACGTGCCTCATTTGCATTTGCGTTTCGAGGACCACCGTGTTTGACGTCGGAAACCTCTTAACGAGGAATTATTAAGGAACAATTAAACTCTCGACGAAACTCGCAGTGTACACTGCCAACATCTCGCGAAACGAAAAACGTCCAAAGAGGAAATATTCAAGCGTCGTTCTTAATCGGTCTCGTGTTTTATCTGATTTTTTTAATGAGATGTGTTTATTTTTCTCACGACAGTTTGACAGTCGGACGATGTGTATATCCATGTTCAATTTATCTAATTTTGTGAATCGAGATCGAATTATTTCCCTTTTTACGTTTATACGTTAAGTAGATCTATCGATACAATTAATTTTATTTTAACGTATAAGCGAAACAGAAATATATTTTGTATTATAAAATATTCTTATATGTCGTTCTATATGTTGTTATAACTTTTATATGTTAATTAGCGAATTTTTTTATACATAATAATATAATAATAATAAGTAGGTAGTCACATTTTTGTGTGAAGAGACTCTTATTAAAAATCAATAAAAAGAAAACATAAACTGTTCCTTATGAAGAGTTCTTCGTTCATTTCGCGAAATTACTAAAATTGCTACCGCCGATACCGGGCTTTGCAACGTCGTCGCAAGAGTGTTCCCAAATTATTACTTTATAAGAATAAGAGGTCTCAAAGGAAACTACTAACGCGCAAGCAGCGACACGTATTCGCAACCGCGTGGGCGTTTATTGGCGACCTGCTTAACACAGGCGACAGTTAGTGGATTCAATGATCGTGTAATTGTCAGCGGGAAACCGGACTACCTCTTCTTCGCTCTGCCCGCGAGCTATTTTGCAAATCTTACTCCAAGGCAAGATGAGGTACGAGAATTGATGGAATACCAGTAAGCTCTTGTGCCAGTAATATCGTTTATTGTCAATTCAAATTTATGCAAAACTGTTTCATGGATTAGCGCGAGAGGCAAAAAGAGTAAAGACGTGTCGCAATATTTCATTGAAGTTCACATTTTTCTATGATTTTCATAAATTACAAAAAAAGAACCGTTCACTTAATGCCGTTTTCTCAAATAATACGAGTAATAAAGATGAGAAAAATATGCTCGGATCGAAAATTGTATGTATAACGAGCGCCAGTAAATGGATTTTATATCCTCGTGCGAGATCTCCCTGACTAGATTACCGACGACGATTTTCCTGCGGTGTATCGACGATTTTCGCGTCACTCGGTAATCTCGTCAAGGCATCATAAAGATGCCGCTTCTCCCAGCTGGAAACCGTTTCTCACACTTTCCTATGGCTTTCCGCAGCGCGATAAGCGCCAATGGATTCGCGGATAAAAATGATCGGCGCGCGCGCGCGCTCGTGCGCTCGCTCAGAGAGATCTTCCGCGGTGAAACGATCCTCCGCGGAGATTCGCGCACACCCACGCGAAGGGACACGCGCTTCCATGCAGGTGCGTGCCCACGGGTTCGCGGGGGTTAATGCGTCGAGTAATAATTAAAACGCCATTTCGCGTGCGCGCGCGCCGGCGGAGAAAGGCGAGAGACGCAAGGCGCGCGATTATAAAGCCGCGCTGCCGCGCCTATCTCGTAACGGTTTGGTAAATGGACCTCTCTGTGGACGGTCATATTATACATATTGCGTCGTGTATAGCGTCCGGTGAACGAATACGAGGAGGAAGATACGGCGATGAGCGCGTAGATCCAACCGGAGAGTCGCGGCGGAACGCTTCGCAGAGGTCGTCCGCGACCTCTCGAGAGACCTCTCGGGATTTTGCGTTTTTTTCTCAGATACTAGAAACCATCGACTTTCGGTCGAGTCGACACTCGATCTTCTGGCCGGTATCGCGCGCACGATCGGGGACGACGTTTTTATTAAAAAGACGATTGCGTGTGTATTCCGGATAATCTTAATAATGGCATCTCTCGTGAGATTCTCCGTAACGTCCGACACGACGCCGAGAAGGAGGAAATTTTTCAGCTCGTATCGGATCATTTTGCATGCAGATGAATATACATATACACACGCGGTGCTGATCATACGCATGTACACATTATAAGAATGATCTCGCGCGCGGGCGCGCGAGCGCAAAGCGCATGTCGCAATTAGCACTTACGTAAGAAGTAATTGAGAAACCGCGCGGCTGCTATCTCGTGGGCAAGATGTACTGTATCGGAGGAGGTTTAATAATATTATAATTCGGTGCCGCCACGATGATCCGTCTGGCACTTACATAGCGTTCGCATTTAGCGTCTACGTTTAATTTCCTGACAACCGCCGCGCCGCCGCGGCCAGGCGTCCTCGGTACGACTCAACAATCGATCCTGTCACATCACGCGTTAAAGTTTCCATAACTCACGTGTGCGTTGTCTCGATAACGTAACCGTGTAAAGCGTTTATCTCGTTCCAAGCGATTTCATCGACGCGCATGTCTTCTCGCTGATGGAAAAATTGCTTCTCTTTACCTTGTGCTTTTTCTCTTATTGTTAACGGACACGGAGAGACGGACGATCTGTCTGTATTTTATGCGTTTGCATGACGTGCGGTTTGTATATATATTAAAAAGATCTGAGATCATTAAATTAAAAAGATTAATTAATATAAAGATAATAAGAAATGCGTGAAATGATTTGACTTTTAAATCAAGTTTTTTTTTCAATGACAAGTAAAATGACATGTTGGGGATGATTGACAAAATAAAAGAATCGACGAGAATTAATGAATCCATTTTATATGTGGCAAAATATCAGGATTGTATCGAAATCTTTCTACCGATGCGAAATAAGCCAAGTCTCGTAATTATGAAACGTATTAAATTTAGTCACGAGCGACAGCCGCGCCTCGGAGTCTTTGCCCTAATCATAGGCGATTAGACGCGGTGAAGCGTTCACGAGGCATGACAAAGAACGAAGTGTCGATTCTTGCCCCTCGCCGGCAATTATTAATCGCACTTAGCGCTAATGACGACCGCGCGGCGTTCGTATATGTATGCTAATGAAGCGTTCCTCTATTTTCCGTAGGGATAATATAACATTGGACGCCGCAGTGATTAGCATCGGCTCCGCGGTGCTGGCCCCGGCCGATGAGGCGATTCCTCAGGGCGGCCGAGCGGATGAGTGCAGAGGGGAATATTCCTCAATGTCGCACCGAACCGATGAAGACCTCACCTGGGTCTCACCTGGACTTCATCGGGGGTGGCCGCGGGAAGCCTTGACCGCGTGCCGCCGGCTTAATCTCGCGTTTTAGCACGAGCGAAGAAGACTGCGATCCCGGCCACTTAAACGTGCGGTCAAAGTGCGACATCCGGTTACACGTTAACCGGCGTCACACCGGAGAAATATTACGCTGCACGTTGCCCTTTCATATTTTCATGGATTCTCATTAATTTTCTTGCTCGCAAGAAATTCATGGCATCGTTAGCAAAATGAGTTTTCCATTAGATTGCCTCTTGTAAGGATCGAGACAAGAGATCGACGAAAAGGCGAGAGCAATATATGTAGCAAAGTACATTTTATATATGTACGTTCTTATTAGAGCAATTACACTTATTGTAAACATTTATTACATTAATTTAGTAAATTAATGTAAACATTAATTAGTAAACATTAATTACATTTATTGTAATTTAATCTGTATATAATCTTAATATATTTATCAGCGCATTTTATTTTTTAGTGCCAAGCACTTTTTCCTTCAAAAGTATGTCCGAAGCATAGCACATTAGTCGCGTAACATAATATGAACAATTAATGGTACTTTCAGTAAAACAAAACTGGAATAATTGTACACTTCAAATACCGATTAACTACGTAAATTTATTGCTTCGTTGCCACGTCGCGGCTCGCAATACGCGTGAAATTGATTTAAGATTAAACGCGCGGCTATTAACAATGAAAAAATCAAAGAGACGCGCTAAGAGACGCAGTAAGCATTTAACCCCAAACGGTGAAACATATGTTATCTGAAATACGTTTATGTGAGAAGGCATGAAAAGGAAACGCCAATGCGTCTTGTAAATGCAGTAAATATTCATTATTATCTCATTTTTGTTATGGAAAGCTGAGATTTTCCAACCCCTGGAGTATCGCATAAAACTTGCGAAACGGTTACAGAACGGCCGGAAACTGCGTTGCCAAATATCCGCGGCGATGTACTATTCGTGAGGATAGTTATTAGCAGTGACACAAGACGCAATTAAACCGCGCGCGGACGAATCTCTGAGTACGTGATGCACGCATCAGGCGGA